TCAATCCTCTCGTCGGCTGCTGTACAAAACCGTCGTCATTTTTTTGTGTGTGTGAAATCCATCCTAGACGTAGATAACACGAAAAATCCAGGAAATAATCTGTGTAGAAGCTCTCTGTAAATCGCAGTATAATCTCGCCAAAGTCAAATATCAAGTGAATGAGTACCAGTTCACGTGGACAAAACCTGCGTAAAAGCCTGCTGTGGTCACTGGTGCGTGAAATGTGTGAATAGCAGGGTTACTTGTGAAGATGTGGTGGAAGATTTTCATGAATTTCTCAATTTCTCATCTTAGGGCAGTGGTGGAAAGTCAAAATACAGCTATGCACTCACATGGTTTTTCTCGGTATTTGCATATTATTGACATCATACACAACATTTTACATGTTTTAGAGAGCACAAGTACTTGTGGACAGGACCCCCCCCCCCATTTTTAACCCCGGGGCTTATTGGAATCTTTTTTCACAAATTATATTTATTAAACTTTTTCATCATGTGTTCAATAGGAAAAAGTGTTTTAAAAAATCGCTCCACAAAAAAACGTAAAGTGTGTTAAACCCCAAAGTCTAGGTCATATAGGTCTTTCATGGTACCTAACGCCTAAAGGAAGGTTTTGTCAAAAGGATATCGTTACAAATGAAAGTCATAGCCTCGCCCATTCAAAAGTTATAAGCAAGGTTATAAAGTTTTTTTACGGACAAATTTACAGACAGTCGTGTATTCCGATCCTTTTAACATCGAAAATTTCTTATATTATATATTTTCATTATCAACAATAACAGTAGAGCCACAAGGAAAATAGTATGAAGCACTGATTATTTTTTTCAGATCATAGTAAGAAGAAATTTCAACCAGTGGACGGAAATTAAAGAGTGACGATTTATTATTACGACATAAAATTTGAGATAAAAAGTATATGAAAATAATACTTATAGTGCCATACCTATTAAATCATATTAGAAAATCTGTAGCTTTTCGAAAAATATAAATTATTTTGGATGACCGAGGAGCTACTGTACACAATGCCACCCATGTATATTTCTTGCGCACAAAAAAGTGCGCACGGTTCTAGATTCTTACCTCAGGTGCAAAAAGCTATACTTTAAAAGATTCCTTACTCCTCTGTCAAGTACTCTTACACGTGGTGCATTGGGTCGAATTATCTTACAAATCAAAATGGCATTATGAATAGGCGAAATGTCCGATGATCTCAGTCTATTTGGTGTCTTTTAGCTGTTCCCACTTATTAAAAATCTTTATTACACACTGGGTGCGTTCAGAGTAATTCCAATGGTACCATCACCTTTTTGCCAATGGTAACAATTTGTACCGTTGGTACCATTGGACCCCTATGTACTCTGAACGATTTTTGGGTAGAGTTGGTAGGAAACTCACCAATGTTAACAATGGCACCATTGGTGTACCATTTGTGACATGTTAACATTGACAGATTTCTTAAAAGAAAATGTCGAACCAAGATTATTATTCTTGCTTCATGAATCATTTTGCAGCAAGAAAATGCTTTCAGAAATACTTTTTAGTACAGTAAAGTACTTCTCCACTACAGAATTTTTTCCAACTTGTATTCCGAATTGTCAAATGTAAAATAATTAAATCAATGAAATTTTTATTTTACATTAAATAGACTTGAAATTTATTAAAATTAAGATTCTGAAACTTTCAGTCAAGAAAAACCACATTTAAAAAAGACGTTTCACACCTATATACACAGAGTTTATGTATATAGGTGTGGTAAAAACATTACAATGATTTGTTACTTTTTCAACTTTTTTCCCCAGGGAAAACTTTCATAGAATAATCTTGTTATTAATTTTATAGATAGAAAACGATTTATAGAGTAAAAATGAACTCAATTATTCATAAATTTTATTTGAATTTACCAAATACAGTCCGGTCAGCCTAGAGATCTCTCGGGTTCTCTGTTTAGTAGGACCGACTTGATCAGTACCCGCCATTTTGTTTGACGTCATTAAAAAAGTTACCATCGCTAACAGAGCTCTAGTTCGTCTGCAGAAAAATCTACCTATGGTAAATTTTTTCGGCAAACATTGGTACCATTGGCATACCAATGGTAAGAAATTCTACCAGTGGTAACATTTGTCAGCCAACGGTAGTACTCTGAACGCACCCATTTAGTAATAAATACAGGTTTTTTGCATATGCGATATGGCTGACGTCACAATAGCCGTATCAACCCTGCAGGGCTGATATGGATTTGCGGGGCTGATATCCGTATCAGCCCTGCAAATCCATATCAGCCCTGCAGGGCTGATACGGCTATTGTGAGTCAATATCACACCCTTAGTAAATTAAACCACAATAACAGTACTTGTACTCATACACAATTTTTGGTGGGTTCATATTCTCTTAATTTTAACTTTTTGAAAATAAGGTTATTCTTAATTTACAAATACATGTAATACTATAGAATATTTTCAAATTACGGATCAAGTGCATTGAAATAGAAATAGAAACAAACCCAAATCTTATGAGACATTAGACTATGTACATGTATGTAAGAAGTCCATGCATGATTATTTACTTATTTTCTTCTCAACTGTATTTTATTACTAAGTATGTAATAAATATAATAAAACATACCCTTTTCCACATCACATCCTGTATCAGCCCTCGACCAATATCAGCCCTCGGGCCTTCGGCCCTCTGGCTGATATTGGTGTCTCGGGCTGATACAGGATGTGATATGGAAAAGGGTATGTATTATTCTCTATAAATTCCACCTATTCCCAATAGCAAATAACTATAGAAGTTTAGATTTATCTGTATTTTGTATATTTCAAGACAGGAAATAATGAATAGATCTATGAGAAAATATATATGATGATTTATTTCGGATTTTTGAAATAATGAAAAGATCTTACAAGAAAAAGCAACTAAATACCTCAATTTAAGAACATAGTTAAGAGCCATTCTCTGTAATGATTTGAAATTTTGTATAGGAGCTGTGGCATGCATAGCCTCAGAATTACTCTCTATAATAAAAGGCATTGATACCCAAAAATGAAATCAGGCAAAAATCGGTTGCTAAGTTTTAGAGTTACCATGGCAACATGTCTTAAAGTTCAAAAAATGGCATTTTTTAACATGTTTAGAGCCCCATAGTTAACATTTGCGGCAAAGCAAACAATTGGCAATGACTGTTTCCAAAAGTTGAAGGTCAGATGTCTCAAATGCATGATAAACATGTTTGGTAAATCAACTATTAAATACGTTACTATGGTAACAAAATATTCAAAATTAAAAAAAAATTAATTTTGTAAAGTCATACACGTAAAAATAAAAAGCAATTATACACTGAAAAAAAAATAATTAGTGAAAGTCACTGGCAAGACTAGTCCATACAATCACTACCTTAAAAGTAGTTTGACTAAGTATTGGGTAGATTTGCTAGATAACATTAGTAAATCTAAGCATTCATAAACTTATATTTACACCCACTGAATATATTTATCTTTATTTCTTAAGAAAACCCTTTGCGTTCATCCCTGCATTAGGCATATCACCTGTACAGATTTCTTGATCAGTGGCCGTTCCATCAATGAAACGTACAAAGACGTTCGCATCATTAACACAATAATTAATATTTTTAATCCTACTTAAAATGATAATTTAAACAGATATAAATATAAACAATAAAATGTCTTTCTTTGTTTGTTGTTACTGGAATGAACGGTCGCAGCTATTGCAGAAAAAATTTACATAACCCGCTTACGCGGGTTATGTATTTTTTCTGCAACAGCTGCTTCCGTTCATTCCCGTAACAACAAACAAAGAAAGCATTTTATTGTTTGAGTAACTTTCACTAGGTATTTAAGTATCTTTACGACCACCACTCCACTTTTTACTATCTTAGCTAGTAAATTTATTTATTTATAATTTATTTTTATGTATGCCATGTTGTAAATTTTGAATTTAACGGGTGGCAGTCAATACAAAATTTACATGTAAATTCAAAATTCAAAACACCATAAAGCGCTGGTTCCGCGAGCACTGAAATCCGCAATGTTGTATGTGGTTGTAAGAAAAAAAAATACATCTGTAAGAAAAAGTTATATTCTAAATATATCTTCATTGAAATTCATGTTATACTAATCAAAATTTTGTATTTGGTACTTGATAAATTATACCAGTCTTAAAATGGTTCTTAAAAAGATACAACTTATTCAATTAATAAGGTGTTTGACATGGATTAAGTTTTTTTTTTGTTAAAAATAATAAAGAAATCTGGAAGAAATTGCAATTGGCCCAAGAAATACAAGGGCGTAGCCAGGGTACTTTTAATGTGGACACCCGAGTAGGCAGGGTTTGTCAGAATATTTTTTTTTTCGTAGAGCCACAGTTCTGCAGCTAATTAAAACTCTTCAAACAAGAATTGAAAAAATTGTAAATACCATTAATTCAAAGAGCCAATTTTGTGTCACATGCACACTGTACAAGAGAATAACTTCTGTCAAGGTCTACATCTAATCATTTATTTCTCATATACACTTTTGAAGCCTATAAAAAGCTATAATTTCGTCTTGTTACAATAAATATGAATTTGAGCAAGTCTTTTGGGATGTATTGATATTTTCTTTTTTCAAGTCATGTTTTACTATTAAAAATTTTGTAACGTTTCCACAATACTGTATACAGGGAAATTTTCGCCCCTGTTTTACTTTCGACCCTTTCGTCCTCTCCTTGGTGTGGCGAATTTAAAACGGGGCGAATTCAAATTACACCTCATAATTTCTTAAACGGAACTAGACTGGGCCGAATTTTATTCACAAGTTCAAAAGGGCGAAAATAACACGGGGCGAAAATAACCCTGTAAAGTGTAAACAGTAGTCTATTCTATTGCCGCTCCGAAATTTTTAACAAGATTGCATGCATGTGCAATATGAACAAACAGACGTTCTCCCAGCAGTTCATAGAGGAAGCCCTGATACTGAGTGACCTGTTTGATATGAGTGAAATAGACCCTATCAAGGTTATTGGCCGCCATCTTGGACTGGGGGCAAACATTGGGGGCTGACGTCATAATAACAATGGCTGAATCGAGCTCCGCAATATAATCGCCGCGTATAATTTACCTGCGTCGTAACAAGTGTACCTAGGTGTGCAGAAGAGACCCCAAGGTAATGTTTTTTAACTATAAACAATTATTTTAGCTCTGATTTACACTTTAGTGACGTAAGTTACATATTTACTCAAGGTTGTCAGAACCACGTGGCCCACGGAAACGCTTCCTGTACTTTGGAGGTCGGTCATGTTTTGCATTGCCCTGGCTATATGCGGCATATTTCAGCACTGTAATTTTTGTGGTATTAGGTGGAGATGATTTGGATGCTAGGCAATTTTTTTTCGAAAGCCTGGAACAAAATTTCAATTTTTTATAGAGCTTTGAAATCGGCCAAAGGGGGGTGAGATATCGAAAAAATATATTACATCGTTAAAAGATGAGTTCTAATTAACAATATCCAAGATTGAACATTATTTTGAATTAATATAATTAATATAGTATGAATAAATCATATTTTGTATATTATATATATAAATTAAGTGTTATTAATTCATTGCACCTTCACTGCACTTCACTAGTTACAAGTCATTCACAGTTCAGTATTGACATTGTTTATACAGATAACTCTTGCAAGTATATACATGTACAAAGGGGTCAACTTCAAGAAATATATTTTTTTATTTTTATTTATTTATTCAATTTGACAAAAACCACATGTGGCGCAAGTCATACATACAGTAAACAAATATAAAATATATAGTCACATAGATTTTCTTATATTACATGCATCACGTATGAAGTTACAAATATTCCTTGTAGAATTAACATCTGCTGGATTAAGAATTTCATATGATATACAGGTTTTATTAAAAAGTGTACAAAATTCACTTCTTAGTTGTTTATATAGAGGACATACAAATAAAAAATGATGTTCATCTTCAACGACATTTTTACAATTAATACAAAATCTTTCATCTCTTGGTATAATTGGGTTACAATATCTGCCAACCTCTATCTGTAATTTGTGAGCACTTATTCTCAATCGAGTCAAAAAAGAACGAAGATTCTTGGAAATGGAAAAATTTAAGTATGGTTGAATTTCAAGTTTGTTTAGATTCCCTTGACTTATTAACTGGCTGTAGAATGATAATTTGCCATTACCCTTTTCTCTGATATTTATTATATCCTTAAAAACTATGTTCTCAAAATATTTTTTCAAATTATTTTCAAAATCATTTATTGATAATGTATTAGCATTTGAACCAATAACTTCATCAAGTATAGTTTGTATACAGTTATGCCAACAAATATATGAAAGATATAAAGACACCTTGAAAAAGTATTTTTCCCCATGAAAATATTTTTTATCATCACTGCAATTTTGAATACTTTAAATTATAATTAAGAATATTGCTAGCTATTTACACAAAACTTTAATTTTTAAAATTGAGTGAGATTTATATATATTTTAAAATACGCTGTACATAAATATAGCAAATATTTTACATGCATAAAACAAGGTATGATTATCTTCAAATTCATGTTCAGTCAATTAAATAAGGAGAAATAAAATAAATTGAAAAAAAGAAATAAAAGGAAACAAAAGGGATTTTAATATTGAATCATGTAGTTATACCAGAAAAAATATCCATGATGCATGCATATGAATCAAAATTGTGCAATTTTACACAATTTAATATTATTGTAGAAGAGAAGATATCCTAGAAACACCTGAAGGCGTGTCTCAGTCTCGGAGTCAGAGTTAAAGACACAGGATATGACATGGCAGGATGCAGCTAAAGCAGCTCTGAATCGAGTTCGTTGGAGGACTGTCATCAATGGCCTATGTTCCTCAGAGAAGGACAGGCCGAAGTAAGTACATGAACTAAGTAGCAGGTACATGTCATTTTGCTTTCAAATTTGTTATTTGAATTTTAACCAAACAAAATAGTTTTGAAATTAATTAAAAGTAAATCCCTGTGTAAATACTTGTATTTCATTAAAAAAAAAGAATATAAAGATTTGAAAATAAAAATGTTGCATTTTTTGTTCAATCTGTTATAAAAAGTCCATGAAATTGGATAAAAAAAAGTAGATAAATATAGTTGCATTGTGACATAATACATGTACCACCAAATTACAAGCATGAATAATTGGCATTATGCTAAAGATCTTCATTATTACAAAGGAAATTTTTATTTTGTAAATTCTTAGTTTTAAGAAATGAATATTTAGAATATATGAATCTTACTTAACAGCAATGATTTTATCAATTATCAAAGATATTTCATTAGGAAATTATCAAGTTTTTATAATTGTGTATGTACCTATCTATTTTTTTTTTCAGAAGAGTGCTCTTTTAACACTGCAGCCGTAGAACTCCTAATGGTGAGTTATCAGTTGCCCCTACTGCAGTAAAGCTTGAATATCAGCTTGGTGGCATTAAAAAGAATAGGGGGTGGGTGGGATATCTTCCCTTACAGAGGGTTGAGGGGGGAATACCAGATTAGCCAGGAAAGTTCCCTGACCCCGGGGTCATCTGGACAACCTTGGCATTAAATGTTTCCAAAGTAGGCAGGGGCGTAGCAACCTTATACTGTAGGAAAATGTTAATTGAAAGCCTGGTTGCCCCCCCCCCCCCCCACGTTAAGTGATGTACCGCAAATACATGTAGTATTAGAAATGGTACTAAAAGTAATTGACACTGTAAAAAAAGGTTTACTACCCCCCCCCCCCCCCCCCCCCCCCCCCCGAAATAGGATTTTTCGACTTTGGTCAACCCCCCCCCCTCCCCCTTTGTTTTTGCTTGTCAACCCAGGTAAGTAAAAAAAAAATTCTCCCCCCCCCTTTCCTAAACGATGCTACGCCAATGGTAGGTCAGTCCATAAGGATCGAAAGGATTGCAGGTTTAATCTTGGAGAATATATAATGTTGAGTAAATTATTTTTCTTAGTTTTCCAAATAAAGTGTAAGTTGACATTAAAAGTAATTAGAAAGTGAATGTTAGGCAGTATGTGCTAGATTGAACTAAGACTCTTGATTTACTTGTGTTAGCATGATTAGGTATGTGTAGTATTTGACATAATGTATAGTATATGCATTGCATTATTTCAATTAAAATGAATAATGAGAAAATATAGAGAAACATGTACAATACAAGTACGTGTACAGAGGTTAAATGGACTGTAATCACAAGTGACTTTTGACCTTTGTAGAGGTGAGAGACAGCAGGCTGAGTTCCCCGGGTTGACCAGAGGCCTGGTGGCGATACTGCTGTACTATGATGGACAGAAGAGTCTGGTTAACATTTTCCTGTCGCTGAATCAGTACTACATGTATGCCAGTTTGCGTTGGGAGGTTCTTAGCAGTGCTGACATGTCTCACATGTGCTGACATGTCTCACATGGGACTCCGAGGTCCTCACCCCTGGGGAATCACCCCACAGGAACTAGAGGGGCTGGTCGACATCATGTGTCGTGCTGTGTCTGAATATGTGAGTACATTTGTCAATCATCAGATAAGGAAAATAATTATACTATAATAGCCAAGAGTTTCGATTTTATCAACCCATAATTCATTGTAGTTTATTATAACTTGGCATGATAATGATGGGTCTGTATTATTTCAGAGGCGTAGTCACAAACTTAAAAGTGGGGGGGGGGGCTCAACTCCAGAAATTCTTTGACAAGCAAAAAAAAAAAAACAAAACAAAAAAACCATAAAAGTGGGGGGGGGGGGGGGGGGGCTCAACTCCAGACATTCTTTGTCAAGCGAAAAAAAAAAAGGAAAGTTCCCCAAACTCAAATATCATATTTCGTGGGGGGGATCCATTCAATGAATATTTCCTATAGTAAAGGTTTTGTTGGGGAAAAATAGCTGTGATTTTGTTCTTCTTTAAAAAGTGGGGGGGGGCACAGACATACTCTTGCCCCCCCCCCAGATCTGAAAGTGGGGGGGGGGGGGGCTACTACCCCCGCTCCCCCCCCCCCCCCCCCCCCCCCCCGTGACTTAACCTACATGTATGTATTTTTAGGTTGTATTGAATAATGGGTTTACATCAATTTTAATATTCCTGAATCAAAGCATAGGAAGTAATAAAGACTTTTAAAAGGGGAATCTAATTTCGAAATCTGCATAAATGGCAGATTACTATTGAACACCAGAAAAGTTGACATCTTAAATTACAGAATGAGAACTGCCGCGTGGCGTTCTGTGAGAACCAGCAGTGGCAGGTGGCGGTGGTGTTATTTGGTCTGGTGACCTGAAGTATATCCCCCTCGGTCTTAAAGCCGAGATCTTCAGGGTGCTGGCAGCATTCCCTAAGACGCCGGACGTGGCAGCCAGTCTGTGGCATACACTGGAAGCCTCACAGGTAACCACTGAAATACTGCTCTTTACTTTATCTTTATTGATGTTAAGTGTATTTATTGCATTGACATGCACCTCTCCTCTCGTTTTCCCTATATTGTACTGTAAGTACATGTATGTGTGTTTGCTAGATTAATTTTTTTAATAATTTGTTTTAAAGAATCTGACCACAGCACTGAGCAGCAGTTCCTTTCAGAGTAAAATCCAGGTAAATGTTAATTTGTTTTCTCAGGTTAAATAATCTCTGTTCTTTTTTATAATTCTCCAGCCTCAAAAGAACAGAACTACCAATCTTGCTGTACACATAGAAATTTATCTAGAGACCAATACACTTGTAATTACATATTGTGTCTCTCATGCTTGTAAGAGTTTTGTTCCTTTGATGTCTGTTTTTTCCCAATAGGTGGAGCTGGAGGAGGTGGAGACCCAAGCGGAGGAATTTCCCATGATGCAAGCTTTTCTGTCCTTACTGGACTCCCTCATTGATATTCCTGCCTAGGGACCGCTCTCAGGGCCCCAGGATTTCAACCCTACCTAGAGTTTGTCAAGAATGTTTGAGAAGTTTTACGCCATCAGAAAAGGTTGGATATAAGATTTTTAAAAATGTTTTTTCAATCTTGTTGATAAATACATACACTGTACTACCTTCAAGTAAAAAAAAATTACAGCTGGAATTATGAACAATACACCCACAGACAAAAAAGGTAGAAAGAGATTGAAACAATAAATTTTTAATAGCTCTACTGGTCACAGACCAGAAGAGCTTATGCGATAGTATGGTGTCCGTCATCCGTCTAGCTGTCCGTCTGTCTGTAAACAATTTTTCAAAACGCTACTCCTCCTACAGTTTTGGTCTGATTTTAATATAACATGGCACACAAGTAGACTACACTCAAGATACATAAAATAGAGCATCGGTTGTATACAACTGCAGGATTGATTTCTTTCAAGTAAATGTAAAGCTTTAATTACAGTGGGAGGTGTCCAGTGACTGTCTAAGGATCGTATGTAAGCTCCTGTGGGAGTATGAGGTGGTGGGAGGTGACTTTGGGGAGGAGTTGGTTGTGGTACAGATGGGGGCGTGGTCCCCGCTAACAAGTCCCCGGAGTACATCCTGATGCTACACCTACTAAAGGACTCCCACTTCATGTCCACGGTGAGATTCATATATTTTCCTGCTTAAATGAATATCTTTATTGAGATTTTTTTTTTAAATTGGGCTGGGAGGTGGAGACATATGTACTTTGTTCTGTTAAGAATTGAAGTTACATAATTATTTCAGGTGTTGAAAATACTGCATGACAGTGTCCAACAACTTGAAACATACAAGGCTATAACAGGTAAATAGTGAATAAAGATATTCAGGTGTTTTTATTTGTGTTGTAAAGTGTTTAAATTTGTGTGGTTGATTAAACTGGCTAATGTTCAATGAGTTAATTTGATTGGTTGGATTGACTAGATAATGTTATGTGAGGTAATTTGATTGGTTAATATTACTGGCAAATGCTAGGGGAGTAGGAGAGTTGATTTGATTGGTTGATTGTATTGACTGATGCTAAGAGAGTTAATTTGATTGGTTGATCTGTACAGGACAGGAGTCATTGGAGTCTGCCAGTCTGCTGTGTTTACAGTTGATAGATACCAGTCTGGAGAAGTCGGGGACGTTCCTGGACGCGTGTCGTGAGACGGGAGCCTTCGCCATGGTGTCCGCCATAGATCGTCTTCTCCTGAGTATTAATCCACGCAGCGGGAAAGCTGACCATCTCGTTAATGTCACAAAGTAGGTCAATAAAAGTAACAAAAATAACAAGCAAACATTTATTTTATTTGAATAATATGAAAGTTTTATTGCTTTAATTTTGCTTTTAGTCATTCAAGTCTTATAAAAAATGGAAAGCTGTAAGAAACATTAATTTTATCATCCTATATTGTGTGATCATGGTCACAATTGGTGTTTTATAATCTTGTAGGTTTATACAGTTCAGCATTCCTCTTCCTGAGCATGCCCAGTCAGTGATGAAGATCCTGTGTCGAGTGTGTCACTCGGCTCCCGTCCAAGTGGCTCTCGTCAATTTGTTCACATCAAATCAGGTAACAGTATAATTTGATTAAGACACCAAGATGAACATTTTTTAAAGCTCTGAATTGCCCTTGAACTGAGAATTATTTCCAGTCTGGTTGACACTGAAAAAGATGTTACAGAATACACTGTGTCTAGTTCCAGAATTAGATGAATGGGTACACTAGATTGTTATTAGGGTTTTATAGAAATCTTATGCCATGTAATTCTTGGTTTACATTATTGTATCACATAAAATTCATTATTCCAGACCTTTCATCTAGAGCTGCTCCATGGATTTGTGGAATGTCTGGAAGTGGAGGGACCAGAACAAATAGTGGAGAAGACAATCCACTTACCTGAGGAGGAGGGTATGTTTAAATTGTGTGGAGAGAGAGAGAGAGACAAGGGTATGTACTCAGTGGCGTGGAGAGAGAGAGAGATAGAACCCACCTACCAGAGGGAGAGGGTATGTACTCAGTAGTGTGGAGAGAGAGAGAGAGAGAGAGAGAGAGAGAGAGAGAGAGATAGAATCCACTTACCAGAGGGAGAGGGCATGTACTCAGTAGTGTGGAGAGAGAGAGAGAAAGAAAGATAGAGAGAGAAAATCCACTTACCAGAGGGAGAGGGTATGTACTCAGTAGTGTGGAGAGAGAGAGAGAAAGAAAGATAGAGAGAGAAAATCCACTTACCTGAGGAAGAGGGTAACTAGGGTCCCATAGAGAAGTGAAATTGGGGTGAGAATGATCTGATATACCCGAGGAAGACAGTATCTAGGGACTCAGTACAGAAGTGGAGAAACTAGGGTCTCACAGAGAAGGTTGGGGGTGTATTGTTCAGAGAAACATGATAAAAATGGTTTCAACAGTGAGGTGTAAAAAAGGGGGCATTGACCTGATAAACCTGAGGAAGATGGTAACTAGGAATCCCAATAGTGTGGATTGATCGACTCTTATAGTTTTGAATTCCCATTTTGTTTAAACGAAAATGTATACTGTATAAATAGAAATTTTAGTGAAGATTTAATTTTGGCATTGATAGCTAGGCTGCTGAGATCGCTAAATTTACATATCAGTAAAATTTATTGCGTATTATTTGTAATAGGTTCTTAATCAACATTTTTAAATCGCTAAAATTACATCTTGATAAAAATAAAATATCAGTTTTTAAGAACAAATTGCTAAATTTGCGTCTCGCTAAAATTTCCACATGCAGTATTTACAGTAAATCCCCCCCCCCCTCCCCTCCATTTTTTTAACTTGGGCAAATTTAAAATAACATTTTCTCATAAACAGCTGAACTGTATCTTTGTGAAAATCAAATTAAATTGTTTTCAGGAGTGATAGTGTGAAAAAGATGTAAGCAGAAATATTCATGCATATAGTTGATGTTAAAAGAATTGCACTTTTCTCTCTCGGATATTAATGTAAATATTAACGCAAATATAATGTTTTAAATTTCTGAAAAGTTCAAAGAATGCCATTATAATGTCACTTTAATACTGTTTAGCTTTATTGTAACAGATGATTCCAGTGAGATTGGTCATACCATTATAATGTCACTCTAAAAATGATTATAAGCTTTATTGGAACAGATGATTCCTGTGAGATTGGCCACGTCCGTAACTCCACTATTATAAGGTCACTTTAACACTGGTCATGGGGTCAAGTTTCAGGGTCACGAACCCAATTTGCTTCCTCCATTCAATTGGTGCTTAGAGGAGTAATAGATCACATCCTACTTTCAAGTAAGAATAATATATTGAAATATCTGGAGTGTTTAAAGGGGGATAATTCAGAAATAATGAAAAATTGATGGTATGTTTTAGAATCTTCTTTTCAAGAACCACTGTGCCAGGAAATATGAAACATAGGGAAGCATCCTCAGGTATAGTATAGATTCAAGTTTGTTCAAATTATGACCCCGGGGGGTAGGGCGGGGCCACAGTGGTCGATCAAAGTTTTACATAGAAAAACAGGGTGTCCGAAAAGAAAGGTTATAAAAACTTTAACATTTTGATAACTTCGCTAAATCTCGAGCTATTTCTATGAAACTCATATCATTCGAAAGGTCTCAAACGAAAGTTTTTACTATTAGAAAAAATAAAGTGCTAAAACGAATGACCTTCAATGAATTCAACGTCCTTTCAATATGGCGCGACTTACGTCAGAACAGCGTATCAACGTTCCAGGGTCTTTCAATATGGCGCGACTTATGTCAAAACAGCGTATTTTTATTGTCAAACAATTTTATGAAACGAAAAGTTTAACAGACATTAAGGGAAAGTTTGGATCTCATTTTAAGAATTGTAAAGTGAGCAGGAAACATGTCTATACGATTATATCTAAATTCGAGCGACTAGGATCAGAAGCAGATGTGCCAAAAGCAGGTCGGCTGAGGTCAAGTCAGAGTAACGAAAATGTGAGTAGGCTTCGAGAAATGCTCTCTAACAGTTCAAAGAAATAAGATAGACGTTCCTCCTCAGCGACTTGAATCCCTAAAACTTGTGTTCATGACATATTTAGGAAGGATCTCAAATTTTTTCCATACAAAATTCAGATAATGCAGAGTTTGAGTATCTGGGATCAGGTTCAAAGATTTGATTTTTTTCGTTGTGCAGCAGATGTTGCTGACAATTACGCAGATACATTTCAAAAAGTTTGGTTTTCGGACAAATCGTATTTCCTCCTATCTTGACATATTTGTAAACAATTAAAACATGAGATTCTGGGGAAATGAACAGCCTCATTGTAAAACGGAAAGACCATATTGCATAGCGAAAAATTAACTGTTTGGTGTGCCATATCATCATGCACATGGAGTGAATGAAATCTTCGGCAACAAAGTGATTTTCCGGCGATATACCCAGAAGTGATGGACTGTGGCCAATATTGGCCAGCGCTCAGTCCTGATTTGAACCCATGTGATTACTTTCTCTGGGGATACCTCAAGTCCTCTGTTTACAAACCAAAACTGGTGGACACAAATAATGCTTTTGTCAAACATCAAATGGGAAGTAAAGAAGATCAGCGAAGAAATGTGTCAAAATGTGATTAATAATTTCAAAGTGCATGTTAGGGAAGGGAAGCTGCAGGTGAAAGGACGTCACTTAGAGAACGTCATTAATTATTGAAATGACAAATTGTTAGTATGTACTTGAATTGCTGCTATAATTACACTCTTTGACGTATGAATTAAATTAAGCTAGCGGATTAAACTTACATTTTTGCTTTATATGAGTATACATATTAGTTTTGATATAAATTCTTCAACCTAATAAACTAGCATTCTTAAAGTTTGAAAGTGTTACTTAACCTTTCTTTTCAGACACCATGTATATAGGAAAATTCTTTTAAATCTTCTTCTCAAGAATAGCAAAGGCACGAATGATCATATTTTTATGGAAGCATCCTCAGGTTGTGGACATTCAAGTTTGTTCAAATCATGACCCCAAGGGGTAGGGAGGGGCCACGACATAGAATCCAAGTTTAACATAGAAACATGTAGAAAAAAATCTTTGAAAATCATTATTTCAAAAATAGCAAATTCATGATTAGTCCTTATTCATAGGTACATGTAGTGTAGATTCAATTTTGTTTGAATCATGACCCCTGGGGGTTGGGCGGGGCCACAATGAAAGTTCAAATGTAAAGGGCAATAAAACCACAGGTAGTCAAAGAAATATGCATTCAAGCATCCTTTTCAGTGTAGATGCAAGTTTGTTCAAATCATACCTTAGCTCTCCCTTTTAAGGATTGTTTGGGACCACTATTGGGTTTCAACTTTTCAATAAAAAAACAAATTTATGATTTTTTTCCTTTACTACATTGCTCAGGTGTGCGATGTGACCAATGAGCCTCTTGGTTTAAACAGGCAAATTATGACATAGAGCTGCTGTCTCTACGTGAGACCATACAACAGAAGGTTGTGACCCTGCTGTGTGAACCAGACAACAGAAGGTTGTGACCCTGCTGATTGACCCAGACAACAGAAGGTTGTGACCCTGCTGAGTGACCCAAACAACAGAAGGTCGTGACCCTGCTGAATGACCCAGACAACAGAAGGTCGTGACCCTGCTGAGTTACCCAGACAACAGTGTTAAACAGACCCTGCTGGAGAACGGAATCACAAAGCTGCATGTGTCTTCTTTGGCAGGCAGAAAGGTACTCACTTTACCAAAACCAGGCATTGAAAAATACTTTTCTCAACAATAATTCTACAGTCTGATGTACGGATGTTAAGTTGAAACACGTTTGAGTTGTGATAGTTGTTTGAAGTTTGACCTCATTCTCTAGCCTGATATACTGAGTAAATGTGGTTTGCGATGGTTGATTTGAATTTTTAGAAATGTTAATTTTCAGCCAATGACATTGATTATTTCGATCGATCCTCAATGAAAAGGTAAGATAACTCAGGTTTTTGTTAAATAATAATTAAAACTATAAAGTCTTATGTGAAATAAAGAAGACTGTCTCTGATCAGTGCTGTACTGTATGTGTACTGTATACAGGGTTATTTTCATCAAGTGTTATTTTCGCACTTTCACAGTTGCAAACAATTTTTCCCCACTTTGAATTCATCCAGTTATAGCTTAATATTGTTTAATAAATTATACTGAAATCTTTAATAATTATACACTAGTACATGTACATAATTAAAGAATATGTTATCTACTAGCAGGATTCAAGTTTCTCAAGACCATGCATTCTTTGCCACGGCCTCCAATGATGGTACAGTCAAATTATGGGAGTCTGAAGAACTGGAGGTAAACAGTGTTGCTAATCGCTCTAAACAGACCCTCAAGAATACTTCTGTACCTGGTAAAATAACAAATTACTTTGATATACACTGTATTATGTCATTGATTTATTTTTTTATGAATATCCAATTTTCTTTAAATCGTCAGAAAAAAAATTTAAGATGCAAGAAAAAAATATGTGATTTTTAAAAGTTACCGTATATACTCGCCTATAAGTCGGTCCGCCTATAAGTCGGTTGTATTTAATAAGCTTATATATCAGAGGGACTGACCTCATATAATACCATTAATTTTATAGCTCGCCTATAAGTTGGACATAGAGTTTTGGACCAGAGATTAACTCCCAAAAATCCGACTTATAGGAGAGTATATACGGTACCTGATTTTTACTTGAATATATTGATACATATAAGTGCTGTTTGTTTCTTTGTTTGATGAGGAGAGAAAGTGAAAGGTTTAGTTTTCTGTGAAGCTCCTTGTTCTGCTCTCTCTAGCCACAGTCACTGACATGGGGGCAGTCAACATTTACAAGTCAGTTAGAGTGTGTTTTATATATTGAAGTTAGAAATAAATGAATTGTTTCTTTTAATGATTATGGTATACCAGATTTTAACATACAACCGATTGTCTGCATTCTGTAAAATGGTTGACTTTTGTAGGTCTGATCACTTCCTTTGCTGTACACCACCTCCTTTGCTGTACACCACTTCCTTTGCTGTACACCACTTCCTTTGCTGTACACCACTTCCTTTGCTGTACACCACTTCCTTTGCTGTACACCACTTCCTTTGCTGTACACCACTTCCTTTGCTGTACACCACTTCCTTTGCTGAACACCACTTCCTTTGCTGTACACCACTTCCTTTGCTGTACACCACTTCCTTTGCTGTACACCACTTCCTTTGCTGAACACCACTTCCTTTGCTGAACACCACTTCCTTTGCTGTACACCACTCCCTGTGTTGGTTGGCTGTGGGGACTAGCAGTGAGACACATGTCTGCTGGGACGTGAGATTTCAGCTTCCCATCGACTCCATGGTCCACCCTATAGGTAGGAATCAATGTGTCTTTCATAATAAACAACTGCCCTTCATTATTGGTAAGTTTTTATATTGATAATTATAATGCTATGGACAGTGCACATATTATTGGTAAGTTTTTATATTGATAATTATGTTGCTATGGACAGGTGCCCGATCATGCACCCCCAGGAGCAGTCCTGGCTAATCTCGGCCACCCAGGGAAATAATGAGGTGTCCATATGGGACGTAGAGACGGGGGCCAGATTAAAAGCCCTGTGGACAAGTCCTACACCCACACTTAATCTCCATCAGGTCAGTGTCTATATACATTTTGAATTGGTCACATGGAAACCTCAAAGAAAGTTTTATTACAATAAGGTTTATTTTCAAATAAAGCGATTTATGTTAAAAATTTCATGTATGTATTTTTATGGATGTCAATGTGTTTATCTTTTTGTAATTTTACAAAACCTTTAATTTGTAAAACCGGTTCTTCCAGTGACCCAGTTTTACCGCGTCCATAAATTTTGTAAAGGCCTTACCTGTTTTTCAGCCAATCAGATTGCCGCACAAGGCTTCCTATTTATATACTTCTTGTTTACTCGGAGTGCTGCCGCGTAATTTTTGTGAACAAAAGAGCAAGTTTTAACATAAATGTAATTATTAAGTTAAGAAGAACCAGATGGCTATAAAAGAGTCAAAAAGAAAATCTCTTTTTATTTTCTTTTTACTTTTTAGCTCACCTGAGTCGAAGGCTTAAGTGAGCTTTTCTGGTCACATTTTGTCTGATGTCCGTCTGTCTGTCTGTAAACTTTTCATATTTTTGACTTTTTCTCAAGAACCAAACTTGCCACAAAGCATCCTTGGGTGAAGGGGATTCAAGTTTGTTCAAATGAATTCGAAGGGCCATGCCTTCATTCAAGGTAAGATAATTGGGATGTTTTAAAAATCCACTGTGCCTGGAAAGATGAAACTTTTGGGAAACATCCTCAGGTAGTGTAGATTCTTGTTAAAAATCTTCTTCTCAAGAATGACAAAGCCCTAATTCATCATATTTATATTGAAGCAATCCTAACGTAGTGTAGATTCAAGTTTGTTCAAATTTTGACCCCCAGGGACTGGTGGGGCCAAAATGGCGATCAAAGTTTTACACAGAATTATATAGGAAAATTCTTTTAAAATCTTTTATTCAAGAATAGCAAAGTCATAATTCATCATATATATATGGAAGCATCCACAGTAGTTTAATTCCATTTTGTTCAAATCATGACCCCTGGGGGGAGGCGGGGCAAAAATGGCCGACCAAAGTTTTATATAGAAATATATAGGAAAATTCTTTAAAAAATCTTCTTCCTAAGAATAGCAAAGCCAAAATTGATCACATTCATATGGAAGCATCCTCAGGTAGTGTAGATTCAAGTTTCTTTAAATCATGACCCATGGGGCTTTTGCAGGGCCACAGTGGCCAACCAAAGTTTTACATTACACATATATAGAAAAATTCTAAAAATCATTTTTTCAAGAATAGCAAAGCCATGATTTATCATGGGACTACTTCTGGATTTAAGGTTTTCAGTAATAAACCAATTTCTCATTTTTCTTAGCCACAATGCTCGGCCCATGGGCCTCTTGTTTTTTTAGAAGAGCTATAGTTCTGCAGCTAGGGTTTAGAACTGATTTTTTTTATTGAACTTAGTCTGCATTCTCATGAAGTGTTGGTGATCTGTTTTATACTTTTAAGTTTATAACTTTAGTTACAGACCCTATTGAATACCTTTCGGTATCCACACGTGAGAATCTTCCGCAATTTTAACCTCAAGGTGTTGGTGTCCAGCTTTTCTTTGTTTTGAACTTTAAGTTTAATACATTCAAATGTATTTATGTTCCCTCATTTCTTGGCATTCTCTTCACATCTACCCTTAATATATATAAGGACTTCTGAAGCCTTTTTTTAATTGCAGATTTTTAATAAAGTTTATATAATAACAGTTTGTTTCATTCAGTACAATTATAGAATATACTGTAGACATACTTTTTTCCACTGGGTCATAATTCAGCAGAATCAGAATTTCTGTTTAATACGCGGGTGGAAAATTACGTGGATTTCTCAGACTGTCACTTATGCCTTACATTTATATTAATTATGCTTGGACAAATTTCCATGGAAAGTTTGTGACCGCATACATAGCGTAAATTAATACCATGCGGAAAAAAGTACTCCTACAGTAATTGTAAACTACATCAACAGTTGGGTAATTTTATTGACAGGATACAAGTAGTACTAGTACTGGACATGTATATTTAGCAGTGTGTTCTTAATAAGTTTAGAATTAGATATTCATAAAGTAAATTCCTGTAGAAAAATCTTAGATGAGTCTACTTTATGTCCACTTTTTTGCTATATTCTTGGGGGGAAAATTAAAAGTGCAAAATTTCCTTAGCCAGAGAATAATTGAATACAAATCCTTCAGTGCCAAATTTTGTGAAAGTCAAAGGAAACTTATAATTCCTGTTTTCTGTTTTGTAGATTGATTGTGCAATGCAGTTTTTACTGGACAGGACAAGCAGAAGAAAAACAACAAACACGCGGACTAGTTTCAGCGGATCTCGGAGACGCTCTCTATTCTTAACTGGGTCAAGGACAGCATGCAGAACCTAGTCCCCAAGATGGAGCACTTGAACCAGATGTTACCACCGGAGGACTGACTGAAACCACTGAGTCTGAAGAGTTAGTTGTTAGAACCAGATCGAGATGAAGAGCAAGGGAACCAGTAAAATGTAGAACTAGTTTATAGGGAACTTTTATTTGTATGTAGACTTATTTTGTAAATGAACTAAAATGTAAGTTCTCAACTGTGTTCAATTTAAATTTTTATACATGTCATACTGAATTTCAAACTTCCACTGGGACATTTGGCATCCATTTGTTGTTGAGAACTGGATAATTAACAATGTTTTTATAAGTCTAGAACATCCTTGGACTTCCTTTTTTTAAAAATTTCAAATAATTCTCTTTTTCAAATTACTGCAAGTTGGGTCTAGTCTAACTGTGTCTAGATTACATGAATGCTTATCTTTGAGATACAGTTGTACTACATTGTACATGTACATAGTATTGCTGTGTGATATCTCTCCTTACTTTTATGGAGTAAGCTTACATAGATGTAGGTATGGTGACTACTGGCCAGTTGTTCAAAAGAGTTATCGCCCTTAGACCTTGAAAATTTCTCAATTTTTTCTTACTTTGTTGACCTGATAGTATGTATTGGGTAAATTTGCGTTATATATATTTCAAATATATGGACAGGTGATACAAACAAATGAATGTATGGACTAGCTGATATTTATTCAACATTGTAAGTTGGTTGTGAATGATGTAAAATATTGAATTTCTAAAATGATAAGAAGGTGTTTTTAAAATTATTAAATACATTATGATTTGTTCAAATTTTACCTTTTTTGCCATCATCCTTATAAATATTTACTTTTATAATATGAGGTTATTTTGAAACTTTTGAATGAAAAAGTACAAGTTTATGATGTTATTTTTTAGAAAAAAAGTTTGCATCTTATGTCCTGATGTTTCTTTTTTTATTAATCACAGTGTTCAAGAGAGTTATTGCCCTTAGACTGTGGAAATTTCTAATTGTTCACTTTGAAGATGCCTGGTATTGAAAAACTAATCTGTAGAATTTAGAATTTTTGATTAATTATTATCTTCATTAATTCATTATTAGACCATACGTTTTATATATACATGTCAGTTTTATATAACTTTCAAGTCATGTGAATTTAGAATGTTTGTATGTAATAAATTATATTTTTATAAAAATATACTGTTTTTACCGATATTGAATATCATTATTTGTTCAGACATTACCCGGTACTCTTGTAAATTTGATTTGGGAAATTAATGCATGTGGATTCATTTATTATGGTAAAAAAACTTTTTCAAAAGATAAAAATCAAGAAATCTTCATTGGTTTCTGTTCGAATAATCAGATTAAATCAAGTTATGAATATTTATGCATTTATAAAGTTTTATAATACTCAACTTTCAAATTTGTCTGTTTTAATTTTATTGATATTAAAGCATTCAGTACACATACAGTGTTCTATATTATTATGCTGGTTCAGACTTAAAAGGTCGCCCACATGGCGCATTGGAAGAGCATCTGCTTTATAGAGTCAAGGAGTAAGGTTCAAATCCCACAGTGGGACATGAAGACCGGTTCTTTGGATGAAGGGTTCAAATCCCACTGTGGGACATGGAGACCAATTCTTTGGATGAAGGGTTCAAATCCCACTGTGGGACATGGAGACCAATCCTTTGGATGAAGGGTTCAAATCCCACTGTGGGACATGGAGACCAATCCTTTGGATGAGGGGTTCAAATCCCACTGTGGGACATGGAGACCAGTCCTTTGGATGAGGGGTTCAAATCCCACTGTGGGACATGGAGACCAATC